AAACGAATATGCATCCTCATTCATCCTGATTTTTTTGTGTGAAATTTACAAAATTTAGTCTCAAAACTACATGTTGTGGTCTTTCTTTTATGTATTGAATTATGATGTATGTGGAAAAAGTGTATGTTATGGACAAAAATTGATATTATTTTTGGTTTCAGTGTACAGGAATTACTGTAGAACATGTAAAAATTTCAAGACAATAAAACCATTGCAGGCCTGTGTTATCTATTTTAGCATGTGTACCATTTTATTTTCATTAATTGTCCCCTTTGAATGGAAATGAAAGAATAAAGAATTTCACTTCTCTGCAGACTCAAATAAAAAAAATTAATCATGAATTTTTATAACAAAATGTTTTGAACATTAATATGACTCCGTTATTTGTGGGTTAATATAATTAGTTTTAATATGTGTATGAATATATGCTTATATAACATTAATGATATTACTCATTTTAAAAGTATTTTAGCTTGATTATGCTCATTGTTAAGCCTCAATATCATTGATTTTGTTCTCACTTACTTTTTAATTAACATGGGAAAACACAACAACCATCATAAAGATTTTATATTTTAATTCCATTTGGTGGCAGACATTTTTTTCATTTTGCTTTTTGATAGCCTATGCTTATATATATAAATGAAGCTAAAGTTCATTTTTAGTCTGTTATTATAGTTCTACACAAAATATTCTCAATGTATATATGTTACATATTCAGATTTATATGTTATAGGATAACATGGAAATGAATTTAGGCAAATAATTAAAAATATGTTGAGAAACGGTTTGCTTGAATTAACTCGGGTAAATATTTTGTGAAACATGGAGGGTGTCCAAGTTATCTTAGGCAAATTAGGGAATGGGTTAATAGAAATTTTTGTTATTCATTATTTTTTAGTTTCACCCAACCTTTTGGGTATACTTATTTTAATTAGTACGATAGATTGTATATATTTTTTTCTCTGCATACAGACAGCTGAGAGAGAAAGAACCGACATCGTTGAGCTAGGATTTCAGCTTTTGTGTGGGAGTGAGATTATCACCCGTCAAGTGGTGTTAGAATGTTGTTCCTATGTTAGACCTCCAAGTAAGTGATTCTTTGTTATAAATCAGTTACATGAAAATATACTTGTCACTCAAAGGAATTTAATATCTAAGGATTCAATTCTTATTGGAGAAAGTAATTATAGGGGTGTGATATATGTTATGTCTTTGAGCTTCAAATATCAAAGTTGTGTGAGACTGGAGGTCTTTACTGTAATGAATAACTTTTGTATGAGTTTTCTTTTATAAACCCAGTATGTGTGAAAAACAAGGATAAATCCATAATAATAAAAACTAGAGAAGACCCGTATTATATTCAGTGTGTTATCCTAACCAGTACACATTTATGGTCAAAATATATTTTTTTTTAATGACTTGTGTGAGAATAATTTTACTATTGAAATATATTCTAAAGACTAGAAAGATGCATCAAACAAGATGCTTAAACCTAATCATTAATGCTGAGAACAATGTATTGGCCTACCAAACTAAACAACTTTATAGCTTCTGAAGAATTTGAAGGGTAGATACGGGGAATGAACGTGATAGAAGTTACTGACTTTTGATGGTTAATTTCAGTTATTATTTGAACAAAACTATGCTGAAGGATATGCATACTTGCTCAGAGGAGGAAAATGGTTTGTCATTTTCTCCCATCACATCAGTTGTGTACACTACAGGTCTAGTATCAGTAAGGAAATCATTAAATGGTACTTGTTAATTTGATACTTGGAGATACAGAATGGAATTACACTGCCATCTAATTAGCATTCCATACAGGAAGCTTTGACTGTCAGTAATATAGATCACATATAATAAATCATGAAACCAATTAGTAGATATTGACATTGAAATCAGTCACTGAGATAATTTGTCAGATGTGTAATTATATATATATATATATCTGTTATTAAGTCTACTCCAAGAGTAATAACGTCATTGTTGTTATGTCTCTTAGTTATTCATACAAGAATATAAGTTTAGTTATGTGTATGTAGTTTATGTTTATTGTAACATAAATAAATTATAGGGTTTCCCTAGTAAACAACAGAAATACATAATTATGAAATAAAAATATAACTTATACTGACAGATATATGAGTGGAATTAATTTCTAACAGAATAATGAAATAAAAGGGACCAAGTTTTGTTTCTGTAAAGGTCATATTTTGAAGCAAAAAACTTTTATATTCTAAGATATGGTAATCTGAAACAGTTGGTTCACGAAAAAAATCAGCTCATATTTTAGAAGGGAGTAAAGTGTGTGTGTGTTAGAATGTTGTTACAATTACAGAAATGATATAGAAGTAGTTCTTTGTTCACCAAAGAAGTTTTGTAACTATTCTAAATGTAATTGTAAGAACCCATAACTTACAGCAAAGGAAAATAAGTTATAGTATAATGCTTGGAGACGACCTGAATGGGTAATGAAGAAAAACTTTATTTATTTCTTATTAATATTTGATTTGATTAAGTTTATTATCATTCACTTGGTAAGGGAGGGCTCAGAGAATTCAGAAAGCATCCAAGCCCTTTGTTTACACTGGTATTTATCCCAAATATATAATTATATAGCTATATGTGTAAAAACTTTAAAACCAAAGTAGATAGAAAGTCTTCATTATATATAATAAATTGTATTTTGTGAAATGCTATGAGCCAATTACATTTAAGCAACTAATTCCCATTATATACTTTCTCTAAGATGCTAGGTTTTGGTGTGCTTTATATGTATACCATCCAGAAGTTAGATTTTCCTGTGCTTTATATGTATATCATCTACAAGTTAAGTCGTTATGTGTTTTTATGTATATTATCTACAAATTAGGTTTTGTGTGCTTTTTATGTATATCATATATAAGTCAGATATTTGTGTGAATTGTATATATATATATATACCATCTACAAGTTAGGTTCTTGTGTGCTTTATATCTATATTTACAAGTTAGATTTGGTGTGCTTTTTATGTACATCATCTACAGGTGACGTTTTTGTGTGCTTTATGTGTATATCACCTACAAGTTAGATTTTCCTATGCTCTATATGTATATCATCTGCATGTTAGAATGTTGTATGCTTTATCTTGTGTATATATATATAAAGCTCAAAAATCTGTGTCTGTTTGTCCATTATCTAACTACTCCTAGGTTGCTGGGCCAATCTCAATCAAACTTTGTGTGATGGTAGTTTGCAACAAGTGTCATGTTAATGGAGGGTTAACTACCCTCTCCACCCCCCCCCCCCATTATTGCTGTTATTGAACATTTATTATCTTTCACATAAATTAATATTACCTACATTTATAGATGGTGCCACGTCCTTACACAAAAAAGTATTAAATTTTTTATAACACAACATACACAAAGTGTGGGCGGAAGGTACACTAATGTCTTATATATATATCTCTCTCTCTGGAGGATAGCAATGGAAAAAAAATATGGCCACCATTATTGTAATAATACATACTCAGCTGATATTTCTACTCCAACAGCCACCATAAGGCTGATATGAAAAGTTGTTTATAAGTTTTTTTTAGATTTCGATTGGATAATTTAAAATGGAAGAACTTAGGAATCGAAATCTACAAAATTCTTCAACTTACAGGACTTGTTTCTAAGTTATACCCATTTTCTACTTTGACCTTTTGATCTTTCAACTTTGGCCCATAAGACAATTATGGGGTCAATGACTGTTAATTAATTAAACACTGTGGAAAGACATTAAGAGTTGGGTATTGAAAGCACTACCTCTTCCTACAAAGTCACCCTAATAATCTCAAGGTGTATACCATGTTTTAACTATATACATATTGAGTTCTTAAAGCTTACACAAAACGTTTGGTGAGGTAATAGTGAATGCTGAAAGAATATGTTATGGTATAAATAAGTTGTGTGAAAGTTAGGATTTTTTGTGTTATTTATCATAGCATCCTTCCCCACATTTTATTAAGCTCATAACCTGGACGGGTACATCAGCTCCTATGTATATTATCTAGAAGTTAGATTTTTGTGTTATTTATCATAGCATCCATCCCCACATTTTATTAAGCTCATAACCTGGACGAGTACTTCAGCTCCTATGTATATTATCTAGAATTTAGATTTTTGTGTTATTTATCATAGCATCCATCCCCACATTTTATTAAGCTCATAACCTGGATGGGTACTTCAGCTCCTATGTATATTATCTAGAAATTAGATTTTTGTGTGCTTTATATGTATATCATCTTCAAGTTAGTTTTGTGTATTAACTCTACTATACACAGGAAATTAGGTTCTTGTGTACTGTATGTAACCTTTGGACACAATAAGTTAAGTTTCACTGTGCTTTGTACTGGTTTACTGCAAAAATAATTATATATTTGACAACCAAAACATAATGTGTTGTAAGAACCTTCATTGAAGAGGAATTATAAAGATAAGTAATAAACTTAAGTGTTTATTTATTCAACAATTTTTAGATGTTATCAGCAGCAGTAATATGCAAGTTTCATGTCAGGGATCATGTCAGAGTTGATTAATAGTTACAATTAGTTATACTAAATAATGTAGCAATTTCTAATTTTTGGAAGCTCTGTTTGAGTAAAACAAAACCGAAACTTAAAATTAATTTCTCTCTATACATATGTGTATTTTTTTGAGTATATGTGCATATTGAAGACAAAAGTTGTATCTGAAAGAGGTTAAAATACAAAACACGAGTTTGTTTTTTTTAATTTAAGAAAAAATGTTCTATCATTAGAATATCTTTAAACGAAAAAAGAAACGTAATGCTTGAAAAGCAAAAGAACGAAAAAGATAACAATCATTCTAAAATATTTATACATTTACTTTCTTCAAAAAACTTGGAGCGGCGAGAGGTTAATCTAAAATATTAAATCGGTTCCATTCAGTTGGAATATTAAAGTTTTATCTGTTTTCCCGCAGCCCGGGCTTCAGCGGACGATAAGGAAGAAGCACGGAGACATCAGCTACATCTTTACTGTCTATCTCTTTCCAAGCCACGGCCTAGAGATATAGCTACGGAATTTTTGAGTCATCTGCGCAAAAGAATATGAGAGATGATTGAAGTAGTTTCTGTGAAAACCTAAGCTGTTTTTTTTCCCTTGAAATATTTACATGGATTGAATTCGCCTAGTGGTTCCAGTTGTAACTAGCTCCCAGACAACGGCTAGCAGAACGTGTTTTTCTACACGCGCTAAACGAAGGTGTGGGAATCCGAAATACGTTTAGTTCACGGCACTCCTCGTTATTGTGTCTGGTTCACTTTCTCACAAAGATGGAGATGTTCATGTAATGAAAGTTGGCATACGCTATACGGTTAACATTTCTTTTGTAAATTGACTTGTACTTTTCAGCTTGGATAAGACTAAGATTTAATGGTATCTTTTTTTTATTATTATTAAAATAGATGGAGAACAATACTGAGTAATCAGGTTTTTGTGATTTTCCATTAAATAGAATAAACGCCATTAGAGTTCATGGCGTTTGTGAATGACCATAAAGCATTGTCGAATTTTTCTTGCCACTTACAAAAGGAGAAGAAATAAAGAAAGTAAGAAAAATTTTCCTTAACTGAGTTATAATAGATTTATATTAAACTTGTTTTAGTGATCTTATACAAAGAGGAGTAAAAGATCAATGCAGCACTAGCGGTAAAGATTCAGTAAGGATTTTTTTTTCTTTGGCAGCTGACCAGGAAGACATTGTTCTATGGTTCATACAATATATGGTGGCCAGGTGGTTAGGGCACTCGACTCGCAATCCGCGCGTCGCGAGTTCGAATCCCCGTCACACCAAACACGCTCGCCTTTTCAGCCGTAGGGGCGTTATAATGTGGTGGTCAATCCCACTATCCGTTGGTAAAAGAGTAGCCCAAGAGTTGGCGGTGGGTAATGATGACTATCTGCCTTCCCTCTAGTCTTACACTGCTAAATTAGGGACGGCTAGCGCAGATAGCCCTCGTGTAGCTTTGCGCGAAATTCAAAAAACAAACTTATTGACCTATAAGTAATTTTTAATTTTGAAATACTGTTTTTACAGAAGATTTTCCCAAAGTTCTAGAACTCCTACTTACAGTGGAAAACATATCAATGATAAACTGGTCCCAACATACTTGGTTAAATTCATTTTAAATTAGAAAATGTTCAAATCTTTCATTTTATAATCCTTTAGGTTGAGAAAAATTGAATCATTAGATTACCTCCAAAATAATACCAACTGTATTATACTAAAAAAATAGTCAGGGCGTACCCAGGAATTTAAATTCAACTGCTAAAGGTGGGGGAGACGTTAAGCACATATTGACCATATAAACCATATTGACACGTGTGCGTAATAATGTGCTTAGAAATTAACAGCATTATGTTCACCAAAATGACCGAGTCGGTATTCGTAGTTTTTTTTTTGGGGGGAAGGGGTCTTGCTTGTCCTACATATTATTAAGTTGTTGTTTCCAACAGCTTTTGAGTAATACGAATCAAGTTGTTTCAAAAGTACAGTAAAACATTAGAACTATCAGAATTTGATATTTAACTAACAAAAAAAAATGAGTACGGATCCTGCCAATTCTTTTTTATTTTAATTCATACACATTTTAAAGTGTAACTGGTTAACTACAAAAATAGATTTTACATTAAAAACACTTAACAACAATCCACTGACAATTGTATAAAGATCTTTGGTAGTAAGTATAGAAGAGTTTGGAATCGACTAGATTATTGGCAAAGCACATTGTTCCCAGATAGGCAAACGGTTTATAAGCATAAGGAAAAGTTTTATTTAATGGTGGATGAGACTACGTTTCGACATAACATTGAACTGTCTTATTCAGGTACGATCAGTAGTAAGCAATACAAGGTTTATATATCGTTACG